TATTGAAGGTTTCCTCCTAATGGGATAGGAAAAACACATTCTCTTTAGATACCCATGATAATAAATATGCAATAATGATTATTTTCATACTGAGGCATGAGTTTTAAGTAAATATTACCCAAACCTATTCTTTAGAGTCATGTCATTAAAAATGTTAAGAGTTGTATAACCTTCAATGCTCTCCAAGGAATAATGTTTGTATACAAAGGTTTTACAATTAATTATACTGAAAACATTACCAAATTCTCACCTGATCGATGCAAGCACCTGAATCTTGACTTCAAGACTCCAAAGGTTTGTTCAATGATTACTCTTGTTCTTGTGTGGCATCTATTGAATTCTTCTTCGCCTCGTAATACAGGGTTGGCAAATGGCGTCATCAGAAATGGTTCAAGTGGATAACCACTATCTCCTGTAGGGAAATAGAACAAACCATGTCACACACAGATAATGAACTTTATTTTTATACATTTCTTTCTGCATTAAATTCTTCAATTCATTATGAGGCTACACCTACACCAATACATGAAATAATATTCACTTTTTACTTTTTTTTGGTACACAGCATAGAATGATGATTAGATTAGGTGGCTTTTGCAAACTTGCTCAAATAGGCATTTATTTATCCCACTATCCTTAACAGGGATCAATAATTTGTTAGTAATCCATAGAAAGGTACTCCAAAATTGCCATTAGGAATATTGATGCCTCTGAATCACAGCTTAATGTTCAGTATCATGCATAAGTAGTCATCATTAAAATTTGTTAAATTGTATCATTATTTAGGTTAAGCAACAAATATTACAATGAACATTTTAAATACTGAATTTAATAACTGTTTGTTCAATTTAATACAGATAATGAGTTCAACTTACCCAAGAGTATTGCATCTCTGAATTCACCCCGTTGAAATCTGGTTCGAAGTGTGCTGTTGTTCCAAATGTAAGCATCATGTGTGCTGCCAGGAAACTTTACAACATAGTTTATGATCATTCTATGAGCATCACAAACAACTTGGATATTTAAGGAATGGAATTTTTTTCTGTTGACAAAAATTGCTTCATCATCAGTTGGTGCCTTGATTGGCACATGAGTACCATCTATGGCTCCAATGATTCTTGGAAAGCCAGCCACAGCATGGAAATCCCTCATGGTCTGGTGGAGCTGAAGTACACCAGCAGGCATTTTTATTTCATTTCTTGCTTTTTTTTCTAGAATGTTTGATACCAATGTAATGATTTTACTGACACTTTGTTGTGAAAGGCCACTGCTATCAGCTATAACATTTTGGAAAGATCCACTGGCATAGAAACGTAGAGCTACTAAAATTTGAGTGCCTACAGGAATAGCATGAGATCTGAAGGTGTTTCTCTTGAGGAGGGGCTCAAATTCTTGAATCATATCCACAATATCTTGACGTGGAAACCGGTATTTCTTAATCAGTTCTTCATCACCAAGATGCAAAATATCCAATGGGTCTCTGTACACCCTTTCTCTCCTTAATGCTCGCTGGTACTCTAATGCAATTATTTGTTCCATACTTATAAACTTAGAAATTGATCTGTAGAAAATGGATAGGTAGTACAGTTGATCAAAGACAAATTTTATGGAAACCTGCAAACAATTTTCAAATACTGTAAATTTTGATATAGTGCATACTAAAAAAAGCTGAGTGATATTTTTAAACTAAGAAAATTCTACTTTGACCCATGGTAAGCTTAAAATTGAGAAAAGCATTGACTTTCAAAGAAGTTTTTTCCCTTTTGTCTGATTTGGTTTACTTTGTAAGAATTTTTCCACCAAACTGCGTATTATGGTATCATGAATTAGTATTATGATGCTATGGCAAGTCACAATAAAGCTTGAAATATTAACGAGCCTCGTGAGGATGATACTGACAGGCTGATATGTGACCATTACTAGCTTTCAAATCTTTGTGAAGCCATAAGATCACACCCTGGCACTGGCAGTGGCAGTACCAAATTTTCATTTGCTATTTTCAGACAAACTTCAATAATCCTACTAGGTTTGAATCAAATTCAAATAGTGAGTAAGCTAATTTAGCTAAATCAGATTCTCAAAACAAGGACTAATTTATATAAACGTTATTCGTGACCATGTAATAGGTAATTTCCTTCCATGATTAAAGACAACAACATTCACATGCTGCAGGAACTCAGGAAGTAGGCCTAATACATGGAAATTACCAAAGTTTTCAAGGAAATACAAGGTGTCCCCTATTCACCAAGTCGCAAAGAAATAATTTCCAAAATTAGGAATAAGGATTGACAGATCGCTTCATAATTCATGGAACCATTATCTTCAAAAAATCGAAACTATTTCGTGACAACAGAACAGTCATTCGATATTTCGCCTTAACCTTTTCTTCTAATTTTTCACGTTTATAGAGAATAAATCACAGCTCGGGGTCAAGTTCAACACTAATAAAATTGGTCGACTTATAGCGCAACATTTTACTTGGTAATGAGTAGATGAAAGTCCCACATATTTCACTGCGGAGTCAACCAATAATTTCCAATCGCTTCTCCCACTCGAAAATTACACGTAACTCCACTTACGAGTCCTCCCTGGCAGTCATAAAGTTAAGCAACAAATTTTGGACGTAGCTTCTTCCGGAAAATTTTGAAGGTACCGCTTTTCGGAGTTGCGTGTCCTTATCGGACTTACGTAGTTTTTAAGTCGCTAAGTGCACTTTCGAATGTTTTGAAGGTACGGCCCCTGGTCAGTTGACGCATCTTGTTATGGTTGATTGTTTCATTAAGTAAATCATTGATGATAGAAACCGAAAAGAAACAATACTTCTACGCGATTGATAACTATGTTGTGACTTTTGCTGCTGGATGACTGGAATAGCTAGTGCGATAGTAGAGCTCTAGGCCATTACATTGCTACTCTTAATTGAACAACACTACTTTATTGTATTACTGCTACTTGCAAAACACTTATTTACTGTACCATCACTAATTGTTTCACACTGCTTTACTGTACTACTACTATATACTTGTACTCCACTACTCTATTGTACTAACACATTGTCTATTGTATAAAACACTGTATAATATGTGTCCACAATTCTAGGTCCTGCAACTAAAAGCTGCTTTCCTGACTTGAACATCACCGAAGAAGTGAGTAGCGTTTCAAATAATTTTTATAAGATATCTTGTCCCAAAAAACTTTCGTATTGGAAACTCATAGACTTACTATTGAACCGAAATAAATAGTCATAATTACTTCCATTTCCAGATATTCATGACCTAATTTCCAGATATTGTATTTTCTACTGGCGAGCATGAGAGCTAAAAGTTTCTTATCTGTGAATAGTTTCACATACATGTTTTACTCATTGATGTCTGACTGCGACCGATTGCAAAGGTAAAACTACGTTCTCCAATTAAACTATGCAATAAAAATAACCAACTTAAAGGGCTTTTAACGACAATTAGGGCAGCTTTTAACGACTTTTTTGCATTATTGCTTCCAACAACTATAATTATTTGAATCATTCATTGGCAAAGGCCACATTATGCCTATTCTTCAGCGCCGACATCACTATGATATGATATGTCACTACACACCGTTCGGTTTTACGACTGATCGCAGATATACATGTACATTCTCGTCCGCGTTGCAATCACATTTTATTCAATTTTATATTCTTTTTAAGTTGACTGTCAAAAAAAAGTTATGATGACTAATACATGTAATTTGCAATAAATTTAATGAAGATTTAATTATACAGTTAGCGGATGCAATGCGTTTGGCCAGCACGCGCTGCGTCGACGAGTCGCGCCAGAAGTTGGCCGCGTTCAGGAGGCGGTTGCCCTGTGCCGAGCTTAGGCAGGTCGCTAAGTATTGTCTATTGTTGTTTAAAATTCCAGTTTCTGGATGGTGAGCACTGCTGTCGATAAATTTTGTTATTTTTTAGCAGCGTTGAAAAATATTCCATTAATCGAGGTACTGAATTTTGACACATGGAATTAAATTCAACATACAGAGTTACCTCAAGAATTTAGAGCAATAGATGATATCTATATTAATTTTAAATTTAAAGTTAATTCCTTGAGAATATTCTGATACAATTCAAATTTATGAAATTTATTAGTGCCCAGACATAATAAAAGTCAATTCTGATAAATACATTTCTTTATATTTTATATTTGTTGATGCTCCAGAGGAGATTTTATTTGATTTGCCTTAACCATGTTTTCATTCATCGAAAATATTTTTTAAATGATTGTATATCTGGATTAATAATTTTGGAGTAGTATCCTTCAAGATTAATGTAGAGCTTTGTTCCTGTTATCCTATACTTTAGTGCAATTTACATTGATCAGTTTTGATGTTTAATTTACCATCAATCAATAATTAATTGTATAATTGTATAATTTCCCAACAGTTGTTGATTGACAGCTTGATTGAAGAATCGACTGAGCAGGCGCATCTTCAAGAATACGAGAAACGTGAGTATATTAAACTGGTGCAATTCGAGAAATCCTTTGAATTAAGTGTTAAAACGGTCTAGCGCTTCAAGAAGTCAAAAAGTTTCATTAGTGTTCAGTCACAGTTTACTTCGAGTTATTTGCAAATTTAGATCAATGGAGTTTAGAAAATTACCATTGGACTAATTACCAATTTCCCACACAAATTCTAACAAATTAACACAAATTAGCTGTGCTTTCGATAATTTTGTACGCGTTACAGTGTAAGCTGTGAGGATTTATATCAGTCTGGACCTACTACATCATGAGTAATTTCCATATAAAATTTTCCAGCTCGCCCCCCTCGGCACAGCGCCCACTGGCGCCCACCTTCAGGGATTGAAGGCCCCCGTCACGTCGCCCCCTCAGTACGGAGGCCTTCACCTGACAACGAACTCGCCGAAATATTTGATCCTTTTCTAGTTACGCTGTACGTAGACCATAAAAATATTCACTTTAGAAAATTGACGCCGCTTCCAAAAGTACCACACGTGTTTTCTGCAGACGAGGATGCTGAAATTCTGGAGGAATTTATCGAAAATTCATCTGAATTTCCATTAAATGCTGATTATGAATCATCGGCAGAAAACCGCGAGATGTCATCCGCCTCACTCGCAAATGAAGAAAATAAGATTGAAGTTGAGATCCAAAAAGCATCGTCTACAGAACTGGCAGACAAAGGTGCTGGCAGACTAAAAGGTCTTCAATTCAAGTCCAATTTACTACCGCTACATGAGACCTCGGAGGTTCATTTCAATGGAAATGCCACTTATGATAACACGACTACGCGGTCAGATTTGCGCAATCGCATAGAAAAAAACTTTTCGCGGTCAAACAATGAACTTTTTACTGAAGAACTAATACACCAGGATACGTTTTGGCTGCCACTTCCATTCTTCGATGAGGCTTTCAAAACCAGGGTGAGTAATCTTCGTTTTGACGGTTGAATATTTCAATAAATATAAGCGAATTATAAATTTTTGCCTTTATATTCAAATATTTAAGTTAATATGAGACATGAATTCTGTAATGTCACTAGTTTTCCATCTCGTATTTAACACACTGCAAAAATTTCAGACATCGGAGCAGCTGCGAGCACCAAAGAGCCAAAGAGGTACCGTGTGGCCCAACTACATTAAAATTATAATATTTTTGCAAATTACGAGCGATCAGATTGAATTTTTACGTAATTTTATTGATAAGCATTTATTGGTTAATTATCATTGTTATAATTATTATTACCGTGCAATACCGGAAATTATTTTCTATTAATTAAAAGTTCTAACCTGAAAGAGTTTATTAAATTTAGTTAATACATTAATATGGCACGTGACAATTGAATCGAAATATAAGAAATGAGAAGCTTACGAACAGAATTTCAATCTATATGGAAACAGTTTAAAAATAACTTGGAACCCGAAGGTAAATTTAATTCACCTAATCAATGATTTTTTAGAAGAATTGTTTTGGCAAAATTGTTCATAAAGGAATTTAGCTTGATTTACATATGTTGATTGTCTATATACTTTTCTCATAGATGTACTGCCCGCATATGTTGTTTGGCCATGATAAGATTATTATTGTACTGAAATAAGATTTATGTACGCATCATCGTAACGTATATAGAATTTATATATATAGGAGAATTAGAATTTATTGAAAATTGAATTTATATATAATGAGGTTACATGGGCCTTTTCCAGGCCCATCGCCGCTCATAATGCCACCAATTTCTCCTGCATCGAGAAAAGCAATTTCTGGAGGAGTGAAGAGTTTGTTCTTTTACCTGGTGGGTTCTCAATTATGAACAATTTGGTTCATATATTTAATGCATGTAAATGAGCTACATTTTGAATTCAACATCCAGCTAGAGCTGCTTGCTAATATTGCTGTAGGGCCCTTTTTAGAAATTGTTACTCATATTTAGTTTTTTACTTAATCAAACATTATCATCAAAACAAACCTCGCCTATAAGATCTGATAAATTATTAATTTTTGTTCGATTTCCGATCATCAACTTATCGATGGATATTAATTTTTTTAACCATTAAAAAAAAATAACATCATAGAAACATCTTCATAACTGAATTATAAGAGAATACATGGTAACTATAAATTTAATTTTGCATCGATGAAAGTTAGAAATCGGCAAGGCTAGTAAAAATTTGAACCATGACGTATAACTACCATTGTAAAAATTTAGATAAACTCTTGAGAGGTACCACAATTAAGTTTTTATTAACTTGATTCTAACAACACAAAAAAACGGTTATTTTACGAACATATAAATCCCCTCCAAAAAAAACAATATTCGTAAATTGACTTACTTCAAATTTATTTTTTTAATATTATCTGTTTAATACCTAATTAAATTTAATTCAGCAATATTTATTAAATGTTGAAATAATATTTGTTATTCACGTCGACGCAGCTGGAGGAGAAGTTACACCGCCTACTCACGACATGCGTGATGAGTTCCCTGGACTTACTCACCCTAGACTCAGCCCTCGACGTGGCGGCGCTTAAGGCTCTCATTGGCAGGGTGAGTTATATTGACTCATATATTGACTTATGTCGTGGGTCATGTTGACTCAAATAGTGGGTCATATTGACTCAAATAGTGGGTCATATTGACTCATATAGTGGGTCATATTGACTCAAATAGTGGGTCATATTGACTCAAATAGTGGGTCATATTGACTCATATAGTGGGTCATATTGACTCATATAGTGGGTCATATTGACTCAAATAGTGGGTCATATTGACTCATATAGTGGGTCATATTGACTCATATAGTGGGTCATATTGACTCAAATAGTGGGTCATATTGACTCATATAGTGGGTCATGTTGACTCATATAGTGGGTCATATTGATTCATATTGTGGGTCATATTGACTCATATAGTGGGTTATATTGGCTCATGTAGTGAGTCATATTGACTCATATAGTGGGTCATTTTGAATCATATAGTGGGTCATATTGACTCAAATAGTGGGTCATATTGCTCATGTAGTGAGTCATATTGACTCATATAGTGGGTCATTTTGAATCATATAGTGGGTCATATTGACTCAAATAGTGGGTCATATTGCTCATGTAGTGAGTCATATTGACTCATATAGTGGGTCATTTTGAATCATATAGTGGGTCATATTGACTCAAATAGTGGATCATATTGGCTCATGTAGTGAGTCATATTGACTCATATACTAGGTCATATTGACTCATTTAGTGTGTCATATTGAATCATATAGTGGGTTATATTGAATCATATAGTGGTCATATTGACTTATATAGTGGGTCATATTGACTTTTATAGTGGGTCATATTGACTCAAATAGTGGGTCATATTGAATCATATAGTGGGTCATATTGACTTATATAGTGGGTCATATTGACTTATATAGTGGGTCATATTGACTCATATACTTGGTCATATTGACTCATTTAGTGGGTCAGTTCTGATTAGGCTACACTCAAAGAAATAGGAGAGACTTTGTTTAAATAGCGATGGCCTTTGTGCGCCCGTTTGGCCTAACAAAAGGGCAGATCAGTGCTACCTGCCCCCCTCTGCTCGTGTATGCCAATATTTGGAAAATATGGCCTATTCGTTTATTTGCGTGTCTGTTGGTGTGTATAGCGGACTTTTAACCAGGCAGACACCTCGTTGATTTCGACCAGAATTTTTACAACTCGATGCGGGTCTCGAACCCTTAACTGGTAATTTCAAGCTTTGTGATCTCAACAACTCGGATGTTCCAAGCTTACTCATGAACTCCATGCTCTGAACATTCAACAAAATTTGAACTCCATGCTCTGAACATTCAGCAAAATATGAACTACATGCTCTGAACATTCAACAAAACACGAACTCCATGCTCTGAACATTCAGCGTAATATGAACTCCATGCTCTGAACAATCAACACCCCACGATAATTTCTAGAATTTCTTCTAAATTTACCATTATTACTTTTGAGGTAACAATTACCCGTTATTTTCTAATTACCATTCTCTTGGACGGTGGTTCCTAAGTTACCACTAGTTTTACGCGAGTGCCCAACTGTTTCGGGGAAATAGAGGATTTTGGTTAAGCTTTTCTTACTTAACAAAAAAGCTTTACTTCCTTCAACAAAAGATAGCCTGGCTGCGGTTAAGTGCTGACCCACTCTACCCACCTCGTCCCAACAGCCCACGGTGAAATTCAAACAGCACACTTATTTAATGCGCTTAATTTTAGAACATAGTGTAAAATATATCGAAAATAATGGTACATATTAGTGGCTAATGTGAAATATTATTATAATAGAATAGAAATGTCGGCACTGAAGAAATATGCCCATGGCCTGCTGCCGATTCTTGTACTTTTCGTGACTTGATCCACAAGGGATCCGGCCTTATGGACCCGATCTTTCCATATCTGACGATTGATTGAGATAGCTGCTGGACTTATTGCCTGCTCCGTAATTTGCTAAGCATTTCAAGACTGAACATATGCTCCTGCATAGCTTCGTCTAGTCTGTTCTTGAAGGCGTTCAGACTCGGAGCGTCAACGATGCTATCAGGGAGGTTGTTCCACATGTCGGTGACTCGAAGCGAGAAGAAATGTTGTCGCATGGATGTGTTACAACGCAGTTTTTTTTAGTTTATGGCCGTGGCCCCTGGTGTTGGTTTTAGTTTCAAATTCTAGTAATCCTTAATTCTAGAACCTTGTACAAACCATGAGTATCCTTGTATGAGGTCCCCACGCAGGCGTCGATAACTGAGGCTTGGAAGCTTCATAATCTTTCATCTTTCTTCATAAGGTTTGCCTTTTAACCCCAGAATTATACTTGTTGCACGTCTTTGAACACTCTCGACTAAATTTTTGTCCTTTTCTAGTTTTGGTGACCACACTTCATGCAACGACATCATTCTTCAATAATGATTGAAGAATGATGATTCTCTTATCGTTATTGGAAATATTGGAAAAAATGTCATCACAATATCCCGATGTCCATAAAAATATTTATGACTGTGTGCAGTTGTTCAACTCCTCCGGCAGCGCGGACGTCGCCCTGCTGCAGGACTTCGTCAGTAGCTGCGCCTCCAGCAGCGCTGTGGTCGCCTACTCACACATACCTGCCGTGCTCGACTGCGTACAGGCAAAGGTGGGGCCGGAGTGTTGTGACTTTGTTGAAGAATAAAGTAAATATCAATTAAGATGATATAAAATATGCTATCAAATAGGGTGATATGAAATATTATAATATTAAGAAGGGTAATATGACCTATGGTAATATCAAGTAGGGTAATTTCAAATATGATAATATAAATAGAGTAATATAAAAATTGGTAATATTAAATATGATACTATCAAATATGATAATATAAAATAGGGTAATATCGAATATGATACTATCAAATATGATAATATAAAATAGGGTAATATCGAATATGATACTATCAAATAGGATAATATCAATTACGTATTGTAACCTTAAATTGGGTATTTTAAAACAATGAAGATGGCTAAAAATTTCACCGCATCTTCATATAAGTAAACGTTTCGGGGTCCAGCTCCATTGTCAGGTCGACTCTCTTAGAAAGTAATAGTGTAATATATTTTTCGCTATGTCAACTCAATAGATTAAATGAAAACAGATTTATCTCCAATACAAAATAAATTTTAGTATTTATTATATTTATATTTATTAATACGTGTATGGGAAATCTACTCATGTTTAAACATCTAAATTTTGGACAATATATATTAATCGAAATTATAAATCGCCGGATTTTCTAAATATAAAAATAATTCTCACCTCACCCCTCAATAACAAATACTATGCGCAATAAGTTACTGACAATAATTATTTTGAGTTGCTTCTTCAAAAAAAATTTTTTTTGCTTCTTTTTTGTAAATTTTTTGTTGTTGGTTTTAGAGTTATCGTATTTTTACAAACTTTTTGTTGCTGGTAACCGCAGATTAACGCGCTGTGTATGGCGCGCCTGATGCTCGGTCCTGACGAGGTTTATTCCCACTTTACCGCCTCCGAGTCCCCTCATCCAAACTGAGGGTAATTTATATTTCTGGGGTAATTGAGAGGTGAATATAGCTTTAGTGTTTTAATTGAATAATTTACATCAATGTTGATATAATTTTCGGTTATGTAGCATGAATATTGTGGCTTGTTCAGGCGAGTGACTAGGTGAACATGTTGGATAAGAAATAACAAGTTGAACAAGTTGAGTAACAAGGTGAACAATTTGGGTAACATATAACAAGATGATCAAGCTAGACAGACACTTCGGTGCTTGTATTCATTGTATGATCCAATCTAGCTCTTATATGAAAAACTTGTACTTATTATTAAAACAAATTTAATGAAGCCTTGTTTTCTAACAATTTAGGAAGAAATGACGTTATCTTGTAATTTTTCTATCTGTGTTTTAAAGCAAAACAATTATAAAGAAATAAATAAACTTTTATCCATCTATTTCCTGTTCAGTATATACGGTGGTGTCAGTTCTGATTGGACCATGCTGGAATGTGGCTGAATCTGTACTTCCTGGCACACCTTACCAATTTCGACCAGAATTTTGTATAACTTATTTCGAGTTTCGAACCTCCAACTCGCTGCTCCGATGTTGGTGGCTATAAAAACTCGACCATGCTGGTGTTTTTCAAGTTCTCGAGCTGCGTCGGTCAAATATATGCTAGTATTTTACGTTCAGTGTTTTGAATCCGCCCATTAAAATCTGAATAATTGCTTAGAAACAAGCAGTCTTGTGTGAATATTATTGTGAGCTTCATTATTCTGGGATCCTTTTCATTTGTATCGCGTATATTGTATTGAAATATATTAAAATATAAGTGTATAAAATAAAGCAGTTTCATTTTTATATAATTTGCAGATGTTCATTTTATTTATAAAAATGACTTAAAATTCAATCAAGCTAAAGATTCGCGTACAGAGCGCTATTAATCGATGTTTTGGGTGAAAAAATCTATTCATTTTCGAGTCGCTTATAATTGGCGGTTTGGGTTTCCTGAAGAAAAAGTAGGAATTTTCATAGGAACTAAAGCAAAAGCAAAGGCTAGCAAGGATATATCCTGCTAAGAAGAGTCTAACTTTGATCTTAGTTCCTTTACTGAAGGAAAATAATTAGTTTAAATAGCTGGATTGATTCCTTCACTGCGAATGTAAACATAAACTTTTAAACCCAAAAACCACTAAGTTGTTTTCATTGTTTAGTCAAACAGATTCTGATTTACGAAGAATCACAATCTCTCGTGAAAGCAAGAATGGCAATCTCTCGTGAAAGTTTTTGCTTCTTCCTTTATCATCACCATCCCGTATTATTTTAGGATTGATCAGGATCATGGAGTATAATTGAATCAGATAATGATGGAAACTGAAATATATTTTAAGTTAAATATTAAGTAACGCTTGGAAAAATGATCAAACTTTTCAGGAAAGTATTTTAAAAGATATTTGCAGAAAGATATTTAATGTTCAGTATTGATATTTATATTACATTTTAGAATTTTATGTCTCGAATATTTGCCGTCCTTGCATTAATTATTCTAATAGAGTGGACGTTTCTATTGGCCAGCTCTGCTCATATTGGCCAGCTCTGCTCATATATTGGCCAGCTCTGCTCATATATTGGCCAGNCCGGCATGTGGTGGGTCACGCTGGTCCCGGCATGTGGCGGGTCACGCTTGTCCCGGCATGAGGCGGGTCACGCTGGTCCCGGCATGTGGCGGGTCACGCTTATCACCTACTTCAGAGGAATCCAATTTATCGCGAGGCTAGCATCCTATCGCAGATCCTGACCCACGACCCAGCTTTATAGACCCACGGCCCACTTCCTGACTCATTCCTCACATTCTGACCCACCACCCACTTCGTGACCCACTATATATAGGGACACTCGCCCTTGGGGCTACGGAAATAAGGTCCAACGAATGCATTGAATCTCGAAGCCAATACGGCGTGTGGATGTAACGAACGCTATGATATCTAGTGCAGTTTGTGTTATTATTGCAGAATTTTCCCGGTGCTAAAGGATATATAGCCTCAAGCGGAATATTAGGGGTGTAAAAAACTATTTGACGTTTGTGTGTTTAATTTTTTGATTTCAATAGATGACTAGGCTGTGTAGAGTTTGTGAAAGAATAAGCACTTCGTTGTAATATTCAGAACCCTACTGAAAATTTAAGTCGGATAACTACTGGCTGGCTCCCGGTCATTCGTCGGCCACCTTCAAATGCCAATAACACAGAAAATTTCTGTATTCAAGACTTAAAATTGTGACAAATAGTTGAGTGCTGTCCTTGATAAATCAGTGTGCACGGCAGAGCAAGAGATAAGTCGAGACGTGGATTTTCACGTTGTTTAGTGAAAAACAATTTCTGAATTAAAAAACTTAAAATTGTGACAATTAGTTGAGTGTTGTAGTTGATGAATTATTAATCGTGTGTCACTGATAATTGTACTTGGAATTCCGAGAATGATACTCCGGGAATTTTTCAACGTCCGAATTTTAGTACCAGTTTTTCCGATAAATGTTCTTAACCCAAGAAGTCGATTCCGGTTCGAGCTGCGATCGACGACGGACGTTAGTAAGTTCCTAAGACAGTGAGCCTACATATCTGGTTTCAGTTTTGAAACTTGAGATTACTGTGGTTTTGAACTCTGAGAAACCTAAGAATTAATAAAAAGCGCGACATTGTCAACTACGAGAATGTCGCGCCATAAGAGGCGGAAGGAGAGTAGCCTGTCTTCAGATGAAGGCAGCAACTCTCCTTCTGTGCCTGAACTAGTTGGGTCGCCTTTACCAGTGGGAGATAGATCAGATGATCTTGTTTTTGTCCCAGAAACACCTAGCTCACCATCATTAGATGCATCCTCAACTATCCCAGGCTCTGCTTTTGGGAGGCCAGCTGCCACTGCCACTGGTGGAGAGACTGGTTTTTCCAGAAATCACAACCCACCTCTTGACTCATTCCTCACATTCTGACCCACCACCCACCTCTTGACCTACCAGGGACACTCGCCCTGGGACTGCGCATCGTATTCAAATTAAGGTCCAATTAACAAATGCATTGAATTTCGAAGCCAATACGGCGTGTGGATGCAACGAACGCTATGATATCTAGTGCAGTTTATGTTATTATTGCAGAATTTTCTCGGCGCTAATGGATATCTAGCATCAAGCAGAATATTAGGGATGTAAAAAACTATTTAACGTCTACTTGTTTGATTTTTTGTATTCAATAGATGACTAGGGTGTGTAAAGTTAGTGTAAGAATAATCACTTCGCTGTAACATCCAGAATCCTACTGAAAATTTAAGCCGGGGAACGACTGGCTGGCTCCCGGTCATTCATCGGCCACCTTCAAATGGCAACAACACCGAAAATTTCTGTATTCAAGACTTAAAATTGTGACAAATAGTTGAGTGCTGTCCTTGATGAATCATTAACCGTGTGTCACCAGAAATTGCGATTACAAATCTTGGAATTTCTTGAATGGAATTTCGAGAATGAAACTCTTGGAATTTTTCACCGTCCGAATTTTAGTGCCAGTTTTTTCGCTAAATGTTCTTAACTCATGAAGTCAGTCAAAATGAAGAGAAAAAGTCACCGAGCCGACTCTGTGCCCGTTAAAAATTTGATGTTGAATATATATAAATATTGATGCTTGTTGAAATTCTGTTGCAGTCTTGCACGTAATCCCTTCTGTTGGTCGAAGGTTCGTGGTTGTGACTTGTGACTTGTGAACGCGTCAGTGTTGCATGAGACTTGGCAGTGTGAGGTTGTGCGGTGCGGTGTGGCTAACTCTCTCCAGTGCAATGATCGTTCCCTTTCCTGTCATCTGTGACATTTGACAAGAATTTCCTCTGCAAGTGTCTGAGCCGTATAGTCTTAAGTCTCGCCATAGTTTGACGCTTCAAGGTAAGCATATTACATTCAACGTCTTTTTGCTAGAATTTCAGGGAAGAATGTTGAACCTGAACAGAGACAGGTTGTGAACGGTGCATTAACCTACAGCAGGTCTGCGACAGGTGGATAGAGCTAAGTTCTGCATAGCTCCTAGTCCCGACAGCTGTCATTTGTTATCGTCATGACAACTCCAAGCTGCCATTTGAAGGTGCAAGGATAAATGATCTGTCTTAACGCAAGTCATTCAAGGATACTAGAAGCGTAGCGTTGTCATTGGAGCCTTGTACGAAATGGTCTTCCGAGCTTCAAAAAAAAATCTTTCCATGTTAATTTATTTCCAAAATTCGATCGTAATTCTATGCAAGCGTTACCTAGTTACTATTTCAACGATACTCCGGCAGGCGGCAGGTACAAATAATGTTGGGACCGGCGTGAAAATGTTTACCGCGTCGTCCAAAGACTGCAATGCGCTCTAAAGAGTGATCATTTCGACGAGACAATTTAATTCCATTTCTTCGTTTTAAATCACTTCGATTTAGTACGCAGCGAAATTATAGTTCGTGTGCTCTAAATTTATCTAATTTCTCCAGCTAAACTGTGATTTTACATCATATTATTTATTTCTCTGAAAATCTTGCTACTTGATTTGTTTGAACAGCAATAGACTGCCAAATCTCGGTACATTGTTAGGTTTAGTATCGCTGATACTGGTATCGCTAATACTGGAAACGCTGATACTAGTATTGCTGACACCAGTATTGCCGATACCAGTATTGCCGATATGCCGATACCAGTATTGCTGATACTAGTATCGTTAATACCAGTACTATTGCTGATACTAGTATCGTTGATACCAGTATTGCTAATACCAGCATTGCTAATACCAGTATTGCCGAAACTAGTATTGCCGATTACGAGTTAGAGAAATGAGTTAAAGAAACGTTACGAGTTAAAGAAATGAAAATAGCTAGAAAATTCCGTGAATTTTAGAGGACTTTCTCGCCCAAATGTAATTTCCACCCAAAAAAATTATCCCCGAAATTCCTCCCCCTCCATTGTTCATCTCTTCATCTGAGCGTATAATAACGTGATGAGATCTATTCTTGGTTGTAAAGGTGTGGGCGTGGTAGCAGTCATGACTCAATCCTCGCATTCATTTGTTTATTATCATTACCAGCATTAAATTATGCTCTGAAACGTGAACTTCTCGCTTTCCGTTACGTTATATTCATGTGTTTATAGCATAATTTAATTCATCATAAATATTGACGCGGCCAGAAACTAAAATCAATTGACTGAAACCTCGATGAAAACCTATCTAAATTGAACATCAATCGCATTAATGATAGTTATCTATGATCCAATTGTATGAATAGCAAGATATTTGTATATCTGACTTATTCAAGTGATAATCATTACTTAATATATATTACATGTAGCTATATTATTCATGTACCTACAATTATTCCTAAACAAAAACCAACGTGAAGGTTCGAGCTTGTCTTTCGCACAGTGACCACTTAAACGGTCTTTTGTTCGTACAAAAGACAGTTGGTTCCCACGTCTAAGAAGTGCATAGGAAGGCGAACAAGGCCTTAATGGAGCTGGTGTATGTAATGGAGTTCTTCCATTGAAATTCTCATTAATGAATCAACTAGCTGCAGCCGGTGAAAAAATGGCACGCGTGTGGCAGTACCGAAGTTATAGTTAACTTAAACACGTAAAGTTGTAACTTGAAGCAGTAGTAAAGTTATCTTATAGTATATAGTTATAGGTAAACTTAAAGACTTCCATTAATACTTACATGTCAATTAATCGTTGTTGCAGGTGATTCATTTGAATGCAGTTCACTTCGCAGTGCCAGTTGCTTGGTTTGTTCTCATTTATCTGTGCATCATCCCGTAGTTTGTTCCATGTTGATAACACGTTGGCCCATCTTATTCAATCGACGAAATAATGTTTTTATGAGACAATGTTTATGTTTATGTGTTTATGTCTATCATGCTTAACTTAAAAACATTCTGGTGCCCAGTTCAATGAAATTTTGACAAGACGTAGAGACAGAGGCACGGTTTTGGTACACGTTTCGTGTTCGTATGCATTGCATTACGTAGTGCGTGCCCCATGAATTTGTTCGTATTATTCGTACGTGAAATGTCAAGCGATGTAACAGTAACCGGTTCATTGAAGAGAGCCATAATCTACCGTCACTCGGTGACGTAAAGTTCCGTTGTAACGGCGCTGCGCATTGCGCTGTTGCGCTCCATTGACATGGATAATCCGTGTCTACATTTCCCAACATTTCCTTCATTTCCTGGACGAAGGACGGTTCAGCTAGCGATAACCTGCCGACAAGAACAATACCAGTACCGCGATGTCGTTTCCTGTACGATAAAAAAGTTACGTATTTGCCCAGTCGCTCCATTGACACAGATGAAGACGTTTACAGTTCTTCTCAACATTAGACAGGCCAAAGATATCGTACAAGCGACGGATCCCTAACTCTTCAAATACTGGTTCAGTAACGATCGTCAGTGCTGGTAGCTTGTAGAGGCAGGCAAGATGAGTTACTGCCAGTAGACGAAACGTAAAGACAGATAACCTTTTTGTGTTCAAAATTCTTGATTCTTTCAGGGAGCTTCTTTTACTCGTAATTCAGATTTAAAAAAAGTAAAATTCTTACATTCTATAGGAATTCATGCTCCCAGCTGTTGATTTTTGGATTTTTGACAATATTGTGCGCTTTGAAATAAAAACCATATAATGTTTTATGACTTAACGGATTCTGTTTCACGTACTGCCCCAAATACCCCACAAATGAAAATGGCTTTCAAGGATCGTTAGTTACATACAGTTATTCGTTCCAATGACTTCCATGTTGACATTTCCCAAGACAAGCAAGCATTGCGTTGCGATTGAACTCGTCTCTTCCCATGCTGTACTGACGGACGATAACCTCTGACCCCGCGTTGTGTTTTGCTTTATTTTTCTGGACCGCATCGTTTCACGGCTGCGTGACACGCATCGGCGACCAACTGTAACGCTGGCAAGTGGGCCAAGGCATTCGACAGGGAGAGGCCACGAAGGCCTCGTGCTGGCCTCTGCTGCAGTGTTGACAATGTACTGTTATATTGTCCTTATAGTTTTTATATCGGACTTAACACTTGTTAGGCGGGGAGTTGACTTTTGGTGATGACGTCATTGCAAATTGATTCTATTCTAGGAATTTGTCTCTTCCGTATTTGACTGTTGGAAACGCTCAGTGAAAAATACTCTCTTAGTCTCGTGAAAAATAGATACGAATAGCATTCTCGACGGTAATGAAATGTAACCAAGCTTAAATCTACTCACTGTCCTTACAGTTGACAATCCACTAGATATAAATAGCATATACTTCGGTTCAAGTAATGCGGACGAATAATTGAGGCCGCGCAAAGAATTTTTTTAGCTTACGCAGATGCGTAATTTTGGAACTGGCGTGGCGCGCTCGACGGGTAGCGTCGAGCAGCTTTCTCGGGCTTGGTCTCCTTCGTTCCAGTCATGGCTCAGGTATGTGGGATGTCGGAGTTCATCATTCATTTGCGATGCCAGCTTCCCCCTTTGAAATATTCGCTTTCTTTCAACGAATCGCCGTAAGGAAGATGACGCGCTACTGAAGAGATATTAAGCTGCGATGGATCGTAGTATCTCACGTTCCATTATGGGAAGAAAAATCTGTCTCTGAACAGACATTACCGTCAGAGCTGAGAACAGTAAACAAATTGAGTATATGCGTCAAAGTTTTGGTTGTGTTTCATGAATTTCCTAATCATTTGGGCGAAGAAAATCTGTTGGGTTTCGCTCTTTACATAAAATCTGTGTGCGTGAAAATCTCGGTATTTTCGACTTACAAGATGCAAAATGAATTTGAGGAACATTAATTGAATTAATTGGGAGTTGAATGGATATTTTTGTCAAACTATAGAAAGAAACGACGTTAATACTCATAAGAAAAGGTGAAACTTCTAAGAATGGGTCACCTGTTTTTTTTTACGCAAATGATATTTCTGCAATTCCTTGAGTAACGTCATTCATGTGGAGACTAAATTCAGAAAACTTATCCTTTTGTAGGAAACACATTCACAGTTTCCAGGCAGCAGGAGACATTATATACGCGACCAGTCCTAGACATTCTACGCACCAGCCTTGGACATTCTACGCGACCAGTCCTAGACATTCTACGCACCCAGCCCTAGACATTCTACGCACCCAGCTCTAGACATTCTACGCATCCAGTCCTAGACATTCTACGCACCAGCTCGGAGCAGCGGATACGCATAGGAGAAAGTTGAACTGCATCGCCTCAGGACTGTGCCGCGTATCCTTCTTCCCCTCCCTTCCCCCGCCGCATCTCGGGGGCACTAATTTAAATTTTTTTCATTAAAATCTTTTTAATTTAGCCTCTGGATATTTTTTATCCTCACATTGCCCCTCATATTTTCTTTCCTGCTCAGCTGCCCTGAAGCTGTTGAAGATTTTCTATTCTCTTAGGAGTTCTGTGCGTTATCATCTTCTATTCGTGTCGCTTTCGAATGAAAATGTTAGATTTTTTTAACAATCTCAACCGAGTTTTATTTTTTGCAAGTCATCCTCGGACGTTGGGACCTCCCTGTACCCACATTCTCACCTCCCGGTACCACACCTGCACCTCCCGATACCACATCTGCATCCGTTATTCCTACAGCGCTTCTACGCGCTTAGTATATAATTTAATAGTGAACACAATAATAAAACATACTTTTTTTGTGTAATGCAACGTCTACAGCAGTGTGAAGAAGTATTGTGGACATATCCATGTTATTATTGGTCTAATTGTCCCGGTTAACTCGGAATGAATCTCTAGGTTTACGTTTCCTATTAGGCTGTATAATCCCTTTCTTAAATCTCGTTCGCAACACTCCTATTGTTTACGTCTTTTGAACCGAATTTCATTATCAAAAGAATTTAATTAAAATGGCCATTTTGACTTAATT